CGACAGAACAGACAGTGAGTCTTTGCTAACTGCTTCAAAACCAGTTGGTCTGCTTCCCATAGCTCCTAAATGCTTTTAAATCAGACAGCCACATTTACACTGATTTCTTAGTTCTACCTACTTCATTTCATTGAATTTTCCCACACACAGAGTAAAGTACCCACCCATTTTTATGGAAAAGGAGAAGAAGGCTCTGAGAACTGGAACCTCCAGCAGCATGATGAATAACTGAATTTCCACCCCAGTCTCCTGGCTCTAATGCCTTGTTCCTCTTTTTTTAACCCATCTCAGGAACTCAGACAAAATGGAGTAAAGATCTTAATGTCCAGGTAAAGAGCCAAAGGTATTTCTAATGTCAAAATACTTCAGACAAGCACTGAAAATAGATGATATCTGAAGCCCTGGTCCTCTTTCCTTGTTCTCCAGTGCAGGGCGCTCTGGTCTGGTCTGTAATGCGAGCTGAGATATCCTCAATGAGTTTTTCCAGGTAGGAGTATGTTTTCCTACATTCCTCTTTTATCAAGTCCCAGCTACTTTCAATTGAAGATCCTTTTCCATCCATCCTGTTGTCTGAACTACCTCGCATCCTGGATGCCTGCACGCATCCTACACAGGCTCTCCCTTATTGAGAGACTCATGCTTTACTTCTTTCTCCCCTAACACACAATTGGATGTACGGAAGAATATCAGAGCTAGCACATTAGAGAACAACCCCATTTGCAACCAGCAACGGCTCTGTCCTCACAAGCAAACCTTTTAATCGCTGAGTTTCCTCTTCTGTAAAATTAGTGTGCTATTTCCTACTTCTCCAAATGGTTATGTGGGTTAGAAGCAGCATATTTAAAATACCAAGCACTTAGCAGGTGTGTAATAAATGGTAGTTATTTTTATGCAACAGAAACACCTGCCTAGGAGCAGAAGACACATGGATGCCTGCTAAGTAAGCTTCCCACTCCCCACCCTTGGAAAGCAGCTGTCAAGGCCAAAAGTACCTGACAGGCAGGAGCTGCTCAATGCATTTAGTGCATAAGGCCTGCCTGCTAGACACAGTCTTCCCCGTATCTCCCCTACGTTCCTCTCCTCCCCATTGTCCTCAATTCCTCAGGCTGTCCTGACCCAGGATGACACCACCATTGTGTTCTGTAATTTGGCTCTGGAGCAATTCCTCCATAAAGCCTTCCTGGCAAAAGGTGGAGGACCACAAGTCAAGTACTCCGGTCAGAGCTCCTTATGACCTTTGGAAAGATTCTTCATCTCTTACTATTTCTGAACTAGTATTCTGGGAACAGTCTCTGCTATGCCTTACCTTTGTCATACTAGGTGGTCACTGCACTGTCCCTGCCCCTGGATAACTATGTGCTCAGAGTTAGCAATAATCCTTTCTTTCCGCTAAAAAATGACTTGGAGGCATGACAAACATGTGTGTGTGTGTGTGTGTGTGTGTGTGTGTGTGTGTGTGTGTGGCTAAAGCTTGAATCTAGGGCCTTTTCACTGAGCTACATCCCAAACCCTTTTTATTTTATTTTTTAGCTTGAGACAGAACCTTGCTGAAAGGATCAAACCTGATCTCCTCCTGACTCAGAGAGCTAGGATTTCAGGCATGTGCTGCGATGACTGAGTATGACCATCTCTTATCATCTGCTTCCTCCTCTCTATCACATGGCTGCTCGATTCATCCCAGGGAAATAGCTGGATTTGTGTCAGGCTGTGGAGCACAGCTGCTCTGCCCGGTCTGCGCACAGTGCAGTGAGTTTCCCTTCCCCTCCTAGCCCCTCTTTTCCTAAAAGGAAGAACAAACACTTAATGACTATGATTTCCTGTTGCATTTTCTTTTTGTCTTCTTACAGAATTAAGGCCATGTTTGGCACAGAGTAGGGACTCAAAAGGAAAAGAAAAAACAATGTTAATGAAAGGTGGTGACCTCTGGTTCCATCCATGTGAGCGAGGGACATGCTGAGCCCTGGTCTCTTTCCTCCTGCTCATCCCTTAGGCTGAGCAAGAGTCTTCCAGGGTAGAAGGAGCAAGGAGGCCTGTGAATCATCACTGTTCCTCATCTAGCCAATTTCCAGGCTGAATGCTGATAACCACAGCATGCTAACAGGATTTCAGCACTATCTGATTCTTGGAGGGAGGGGGCAGGTGCTGCTCTGATTCCGTAGCATCAAGTACTGTGACTGTTCCAACTCCCACACTCAGCTGCTCTCAGATGCCTCTCTGGAAGGACCCACCTGGAGGTCCCCAGGCTGCCCAGGGGCAGGAACCTTATTCCTTCCAGTTAGCAACTGTCTTTATTAGTAGAACTGGTGTTAGGCACATTCAGTGCTATGGTTTAAATCTAGAATATCCTCCCAAAGGTCTCATGGGTTCAGAGAGGCATTTTTGGAAGGTGAATAGATTATAGGGGTGCTGTGCTTGTTAGTAGATCATTCGTGGATAAATTCATAGCTAACTGTGCAGTCAGGCCTGGTTGGAAGAGCTGGGTCCCTGCAGTTGTGCCTTTGGGAAGTGTATCTCCCTTCCAGTACTCTTCCTTCCCTCTCTGCTTCTTGGGTACCATGAGGTGAGCAGCTTTCTTCCACCTGTCCTTAAGCCATTGCTGCCTTGGAGCCGGCTAGCCATGGACTGAATCTGTTGAACCATAAGCCAAATGAAACCTCTGCTCCTTTAAGTTATGGGTGTCGGTATTGTGTCTCAGCAATGGGAAACCTGACTAATACACTCAGGAAGAACCAAATAGCATCTGTCTCCAAAGTTGCCGTATTTCAGGATTACCAGAATGGGGCAGGATCTAATGCAGTATCATCTGAGTAAAACAGCACTAGGATGAGATCTAAACACCTGGAGGAAAGTCTGAAGCCCTGGTTTCTCATTCCTTTTACCACTGCAGTGACTAGCTGGGGTGACACTAAAGACAAATGAGTTGATATTGTCACTGAGATTCCTGATCCTCTTGCAATGGCAGATGTGCATAAATATTCCCTTAATCAAGACTTTATGTCCCCTAAGTCATTAGTGAATTAAATTTTCATCCACTGGTTATTTTACACTGGATCACGCCATTTTATCAACTATGCCAGCTCTTCTAGCTGCTGTATTGTGTTCCTAGTTCTAGTCCTCTTGTCCTCCATTCATACCCATCACCTCTGGCTCAGGTGGTCCAGGCTTAAACCATACCACCCCCGTTAGACAATAAGAATTCATAAGAGGTATAAGAAAGCATCTTCTTTTTGGCATCAGAGATTCTCCTTGGACTTTCTTTTTAGTTATTGTATTTTTAAGCAGTCTTTGAAACGATTGAACCTTTCTTGGCTCTCTCATTCTTCAGCTCTTAAATGACTATGGTAAAAGCAAGCTCCCACAATGTGCTGCAGAGGGAAGCACTCTGAGTATTGCAAAGTATGGCATCCACCAGAGGTCTGCTATAAATATTTCCCTCCTCCCTAGGGGAGATAGTGGGGAGATAGTGGGTTAATGACAACCTTAATGGGTTCTGAAGAGCAAGCATTCTTTCTGCTGTCCGTGCAAGGCCTGGGGTGGAACATGGGCCAGCCTGAGGTCAAGGCAGGCTGGGGCTGCAGAAACACAACCCAGGTGACTCACTTCCCTGATAAGACTGCTGAGGATAGGCAGGCTCCTTCTTGTCCTTCCTCCAGCTCAGCACAGTCTTATGGTGGAAGATTTTTAGCAACAGGGTAGAAAAGTCAGGTCAAGTCAGGAAGAACTGTCTCTGACCATGAGCTTTTCCTTTGAAGTTTAGAAACATCTGGGTAGAAATGAATAAATAAATAAATAAGTAACCTATGTTTCAGCTCTAAGTTGATTTCAAGTCCTGCCTTGTAGTCAATATGACCTTGGTCAAGGTCCTCATGTTCTTGTCCCTCTTTCTTCTTCTTTGAACTTGCCACAATAATTCCTTCATCCTGAGCTTGCCTGTGGAAAATGTTAGTGAGATCTTGGGTGTAAGAGACCATTAATAACAATGCTTCCTTCCCTTCCTGAGGATAAACTGTGCTAGGAAATGGTTTTGTTTTGCTTGCTGCCATTCTCTTTCTCATTGTAATGAATGCTTTATTTTCATAAGATAAAATAAAAACCCAGTGTATGCCACTGTACAAGGCAACCCTGCTGAGGAGTTCCTGATAAAGCTGCAGGCTGAGTGGATTTATGTGACCCACGTCGCTATGTAGGGGTGGGAATGAAACTCTCTTTTTGGGGTGCCAGTGCCAGGCTGCCTTATGCGTTGCCCTCAACTTGCCCCTTTTACTTCTTCACTTTAACTTTTGGGAGCTAAAAATATCTTTCACACTCAGGATTTCAAGTTTGGGCTTGATTTTGAAACACACACATACTTACATGTCAGTGAATATGGGATATATGTCCATAAATTCATATTGATCTTTTGGGACATAAATTATCAGACTAAGCAAAGGCTATAAGGCTATAAAGGCTATCCCTCCTGTTGGCTTTTCATAAGATCTAAACGACAGAGACAAACACACATTTTTGCGATTTTTGTGCTCTATTCAACGTGGCTTTCTGGAGATCAGCTAGCTCCTGAGGTACAGTATGCAAACTCAAGATCATTTTGAAAGCCAGAGATTTAATCCTGCTAGTGGTGGATTTTGTTCATTACTGAAATCAGAACTATGTGCAAATGCTCTGAGAGGCAAAGTTAGATCACAGAGAACTTCTTGCTAGTTTCATCTGCTTCTCTATCCTTAATTTCTCCTAATCTGAGTTTTTACAGAGGGTTAAAATCTACATTCTGGGTTGTATTTGGAACAGATAAAACCATCACCTCCAAAAATAATAAGGAATCTCAGGGAAAAGAAATCTTCCAATGCAAGGAAAAAATAAATCTAACCAGCACAGCGAGACATTAAAAATTAAAAGAGCAGCTCAGAAAGGAGAGGCCAGAGAGAGGACCATAAGAGCCATGAAAAACATCTTCCTTTCAAGTAAGAAGATAGACACCGAAATAAGTGCAACACAGCTAGCTATTTTGAGTTGGGGGCAAGATAATTATATTCAAAAAAAGACAGCGTCTCCAGAAAAATCTTTTTTGTTTTTCCCCAGTGAAATAGTTTTAGTTCCTTCATATAGAGACATATATTACACAATGTTAACAACCATGAAAAACAATACAAAATGCCCTCCATTTAACAAGTAGAAAAATATAACTAGTATATATGGCAATTGTGAATCTAATACTGTACAGAAGTAATTTATGGATTTTACAAATAAATTATAGTTTAAATGCCCTTTTTAAAATTCTTTTTCCCCCCCTAGATATACAGCAGAAGTTACAACATAGGAAAGGTCCCGAGCCTCACTTCTCAGAAATCAGTGCCAGTCAAATGTTCTGCCCACGAGTTCGAAGAATTTCTTATTTGGCTCATGAAAATACTCGTGCAGTTTATTGAGTAGCTTGGGGTCCACTTGCGGGTGCGCCCGGCCTTTGGACTCGTGTAAGCAGCGGTCCCGGCCGCTGTCCCGGAGGCAGTAAAAGCCCTTGGTTTTGTTAAAGTAGAAGTTCGAGGCGTTGATCTGGGGGGCCAGCCGGAGGAACCTCTCGACCTTCTGGATCTCGGGGAAGGGGTCCCTGATGAGGCGGTCACCGTCCACGATGTGGATGCGGCGCAGGGGGAAGAAACGCAGCCAGTTCTGCATGTGAGCGTGGTAGAGGCTGCGGTTGAGCGCCTTGTAGTCCACGTTGAGCCGGCCGTCGCGCACCAGGAACTCCTCGATGGACGGGTAGGGCTTGTGCTTCTGCATGTGGTTGTAGAACACTTGGGTGTAGTCGGACAGCACTCGCTCCGACGGGTCCCGCAGGATGAGCAGCAGCCGGATGGCCGGGTTCATGCTGTGGACGCGCTCAGGCACTTTGGGCGAGGTGAAGTAGGCAGGCGTCTTCTCCACCGTGAGTTGGTGCGGGGAGGAGAAGGGCATCTGGCTGAGGTACCAGCCCAGGCCCAGGCTGTAATGCTCCTCCCAGTCGAAGAAGTGTACCTCGTTCTCGGCGGCAGCCACGTCGGGGTGCAGGCTCAGCATCTCCAGCAGCGCGCGTGTGCCGCCCTTGCGCACCCCGATGATGATGGTCTGGGGCAGCTGCTGCACAGAGCCGTTGGCGGCCGCAGAGCTTCGGAGGTCATCCTGCAGGGTCCCGGCTTTCCGCAGCAGCTCCTGCTGGCTGGGCTCCGCCCCCGGGACGGCAGGGCGGGAAGGCACCAGCTGGGACTGCGCCACCAGCAGCACCGCGCCCAGGAGCAGCGCGGCCATGCTGGACACCTGGGGGCTTCACTGGGCCTCGAGTCCCAGGGGCATGAAGGGCCGCGCAGGCAACACCTCCGGTCAGTGGCTCATGGGCGTCGTAGGCTGCCAATTACTGAGGAAAGGAAGGGAGAAAATATTAGCCCAAAATGTGCAGGCTGGTGCAACTGCTGTGGAAATCAGTGTGGAGATTCCTCAAAAAGCAAGGATTAGAAGTCCCATTCGACCCAGCTACTCCCCTTCTGGCTATTTTCCCAGAAGAAATAAAAACATCTTACCACAGCCATACGTGTACACCCATGTTTACAGCAGCACAATTTGTAAGAGCTATATCTTGGAAACAACCCAAATGCCCATCAACCAAGGAATGGTTAAAAAAGATGTGGCATTTTTATATGATGGAGTACTACTTAGCCATAAAGAAGAATAAACTAGAGCCTTTTATAGGGAAATGGATGCAACTTGAGACCATATTCATAAGTGAAATAAATCAGATGCACATGTATAAACACTGTATTAGCTAACCAGTGTGAGATATTGACAGAGTAAATAAGGTCTAAGATGTAAAAATACATATTGTGAAATGGGAAGAAATTATTTAAGAGGGAAAAAGGAGCTAAGATGGGAGAAAGGGGAAAGAAAGGAAGAGAAACGGGGGAAAATGCAAGTTAACGATACTGTTAGTGTCACTTAGTTCACCGATGAGGTTTGTGCTAGTACTGATTGGAGAATTTCTTATTCTCATATCTTGTACTCTGAGTAACTACTTTGAAGATGACAATATGCAATGTATTCAGTCTTGTTATGCTCCTATTATTGTTATAAAATTCTGTTTACCTTTTTTCCATACAATAAAAAATAATTTTAAGTGTACAGAAGCAATCCAGTGGGTAGCTGCAGTCTTCCATGCATTCACCTCCCTGGGCTACTTCCTTATTTTCTTTATTCCCCAAAGCAGAGGGGTGGCAAGCATTTTGTTTCTGCTGCTGTTATTTTGAGACAGGGTCTCTCTGTATAGCTCAGGCTGGCTTCCAACTCTCGATCCTCCTGTCTTGGCCTCGCAAGTGCTGGGATTACATGTGTGTACATCACGCCCAGTGCGTGACAAACATGCACTATAAATGGTTAGAGAGTAAATATTTTAGTCCGAGTGGGACATATGGTCTCTATGGCAACTCCAATTCCAACAGCGCTGTTACAGATCTAACTCAGCCAGAGACAATAGACAAAGGAAAGGAAAGGGAGTGGTTATATTCCAGTCAAACTTTGTTTATGGACCGACTAGTTACATGTTTAGCTTTCTAGCCACACAAAAGCAGGGCCAGGTTTACCCTATCAGCCAGTTCATCAACACCTGCTATGCAGAAAAGGGTTGGCAAAGGGCTTTGCACCGCAGCAAGCATCCATGGAATATCGGGCCGCCCGTGCCAGAAGGGCAGGTGACAGGAGCAGCTTTTGTTTTTGTACTCCTCGGTGCTCCTGATCTGTTAGGGCGGATGAGTTTGGGTGGAAGAGTGAATGGCTGGCCCCAAGTGTTCACTCAGCATCCAACTCCAGCCACGGCTCATTTGGGACAGCACGGTTCCTAGCAACATGATCTGGGTTTGGACAACACGTGTGGGCCGACGGGGCAACATGCCAGACCCAACCTTGCTGCGAGAGGCCTTGCGCCTCTGCCTAGTCTGTCACTATAGGAAGAAGGTGCCTTGGCTAAGTACTGTCTCAGAGGAGGATGGGAGAGACGTGTGGCAAAGTCTTCCACCCCAAGGCCACTGCCTGCAGCACAACCTTCCTTGCTCTGGAGGGAGAGCACAGAACTGTGGCTTAGGTGACTGAGTTTTCGTGTGGGTCATAGTGCAGCATGAATTGTGCAGATGTTAACGAACGCAGCAGACAGCAGCGGGGTGATGTGCCTGATGCCTGTAGTTTAGGTAGGGTACTGTGAAGGCACATGTTCACTCACTTGCCTGAACAGGTCGGGAACATCTTCCCAGCAGAGGAAATGATGAGAGTGGGCCCTGAGAATGAAAGGGCTGAGGTTACCAGAAAGAGCAGAAAGCCTCCCTGTGCACGAAGCTTTACTATTTATAAACTGGCTCATGGTTGCCCTTCAGATCATCAGCAGAACCCTACCCTGCAAAGCAGGAAGGCAGGGCAACTATCACCCCAGATTTGTAGAGGACAGTCTTACCTAAGGACAAACGTTTAGTCCATTTTAGTTTTTTCTTGTTTTGTCTTTTTGAGACAGGGTCTCGCCATGCAGTTCACGCTGGCCTTGAGCTCACTTTGTAGCCCAGGCTGGTCTTGAACTTGCAACAATCCTCCCTATCCCAAATGTCTGAGATTGGTCACATCTACACCATAAAGTCCTTCAAGAACACATGCACTATTGGCCTTGATGTCTGAGCTTCCCAAAGACAGAGAAACGGCTGATGCTTTCTAGGAGGGGTACACAACAACCTGTGCCTGACACCCTCCGACAGAAAGGGGACAGGAAGCCCGTGTGTAAGCTATCCCTGTCTGCACACATGAAGGAAGTGGCTGCAGACAGGCCCAGCATGGGGACTGTAAGGCTTACAAACCCAGTAAAAATCTTCTCCATCCAGAGGACTCATTCTCTTTTGCATAACAGGTTTAAAATTTACCTGAGTTTAAAACTCGTCAAAAATGTGTAAACAAAGAACAAAACCTGGGGCTTCCATATTGGGTTGTCTGCTTTGAAAAATGCAAATTACAAAGCAAGCATCTAGCCAGATGGATAGATAACTCTTAAGCACCACAGTACCCCAAGAGAAGGTCTTGGGGAGGGAAGCTTTTGCGGAAGAGTGGCCAAGCAAGATGTACGGTTGGGTTGGTACTGCTCAGTGTAAGGGTCAACTATAGGTTTCAGGATGTTTCAGTCAAATTTCTCTTCTTCCCTGGTTGCTCATTTGCCTTTACTAAAGGACTGGCGGTACTTTCCTTTCATACAAGTGCTGTGTGTGTGCCTGGCTCCGTGTCGCCATGGTGCGCATGTGGTCGGGCTGACGACAGAGTAGGGAGTCACCTACTACACCCTGGTGCGTTGTGCTGTGTGGTAGCCACTGCTGCCCTCCTGTCAGAGGGCAGCATCCAGACATGGGAAACAACAATCACACAAAGTGTTCCACACCTAAAGCACAGCGGCAGAGGCCAGGGCGGAAATTCATATTGTCCTACTCTCCTACTCTTTACACTTCAACATGAGCCGTTCCAGTTATGTCTAAGATTCCTCCTGAAAGGCGAATTAGGAGCAGACAGCAGAGAAGAAACTAAATATAGTTTATCCTTCACAGCAAAAAAAAAGAAAAAGAAACTGGGCAGTTAGTACTTTCAATTCCTTGTTTCTATTTTAATACTTTCCAAAAATAAATTTACTGATGTCTAAACCTTTTTCCATTCCGAAAACATCTGAGGTATACGGGGCAAAACTAGCTAAAGTCTTCTGGGCACACATGACATATTTATTAAATGTGGCATGCATGCGTATGGAGCTGTATGTGTGCATGTGTGCCTACAGATGTGCACATGGGAATATACATCACACAATATATGTTAACACATGTAGTGTTTAATATATGTAACATGCACATAGGCAGTGCCACTGGGAACCAACTCCTTTGAGTAATTGGGAAATCTGGACTTCCTGGTGGAATAGCCAGAGTTTCTGGGGCTTTCAGTAACATTCTCAGAAAAGAAAAGACCCTCCAGTTCAGATGAACTTATAGTCAGTCATCTGGGCCACCTGGACCTTGGCTTTGAAGCAGGGAAGTAAAAGAGAGTGCTTTGGTCCTTGCCTCTGGTTTCACAAGGAAGGACAGCCCAAGATGACTGGCCTGAGGCTGTCTAGGAACTCCAGCCTGGGACCTTTGGGTACTGAATTCCGAGCCTCTAATCTGGCTTCTAAGGAAGGCATTTCAGTATAAATAATGACAGTGCTGTAGGTTCCCAAAGAAGAAAGACCCAGGTAGATGTGTCCAGCTGTGTCATTTCTTGGCCACCAAGCCAGGAGGAGCTGACACATGGGTACATGAAATATAACAGCAAACTCCTTCTTCCCTTCTGCACAGTAGATGGGTCAGAAGCTACTGCCCAGTTCTGCAGTGCTAGTTCTGCTTCTAGTGTTGCCTTTAGTCTTAGTGCTATAGACTCTCTTAGCCTCAGTTTACTCATCTGTAAAATGGCAACATGTCTACCTGCCTCAAAAAGTTCCTTTGAGACTGAAAAGAGACAGTATGTCCTGGGTTGTCCAACAGATATATAATGTGAGCATATTTGAATTTGCCAAGAGCCATATTAAAAAATATGTAACCCAATATATGCAAAGTATTCATTGCTCTAACATATGATCAATATACAGATTTAATGAGATATCTGGCACTGTACCGTGCCTAGGAAATCCGGGACTGAATGTGTATGTTCCTCCTCTCAGCGCAGCCCCCACCCCCCGAGGCTTGTGCCCACCCAGGTGGTCAGCACAGACAGATGGCACTGACCAGAGCCACAGATTTCATTCTAAAGCCACTTTGAAACTTTTTTTTTAAGTTTTCTTTTCTTTTTTATTTTTCATTACTGGCCCTTGAGCCCCAGGGCCTTTGAGGTTTGAGCCCAGGGTCTTCATACTGAGCTACATTCCCACATTCCTAGCCTTTGCTTTTTTTTTAAAAGACGGGGCATCACTGAGTCACTAAGTCGCCCAGGTTGGGATCTAACTTATGAGCCTCCTCCTGCCTCAGCCTCCCAGGGAGCTGGGATTGCAGGAGAGTGCCCCATGCCCAACTCCGAAAGCTCTTTCTGCATCTCCAGAGTCCTTCCCCACTCGAGAAGAAGAAGGAGAAGGACGAAGAGGACAAGGACAAGGACAAGGACAAAGACAAGGAGAAGAGTTCCTGGGCAGGAAAAGGACCAGGAAGGCAAGTGTGAACCTGCAGTCAGCAAAAGTAAATTCTCTATTCTCCCTCACAATAAATTCATTATTCTCTCCCAAGAAATAAACCAGGTAACGCTGAACACACGTCACCTTAAGGAAGTCTGGAGCCTACAGCTGTTCAGGCCGAGCACATGCAGTGCTCTCCTGTGTCTGGAGCGGAGGCCTTG